TAATTTTTTACAGTATAAATTGATAGAAATCACGACAGTTAATTCCAATACAAACTAACTCAATTACGTGCATTATAGATTGTAAGTTTTGTAACATAATTTTTTTACAGTAAATTAAAAATATCGATAACTCTAATGCAATAATTTATTAAATGTTAACCATGATAGGCGGTATATATTAGTTATTTTTAGATTGTAGTATTTAATTATTATTATATATTTATTTATTTTTATTAATATATAATAAGATTTAAAAAAGAATTTCATAATTGGACAAGTGACAATCACGACATAGATCAATTAATTCAACAAACACAACTCAATGCGAAGTATTTTAGAAATATTATTGAATGGATACCTTTTAGTAAATTTGCAAAAATAAAGTATTTTGCTAAAGGAGGCTTTGGCACTGTTTTTAAAGCAGTATGGACTGACGGATATATTACAGGAATTGATTTGGATAAGAATGAATGGAAGAGAAAGCCGCAAGTAGATGTTTGTTTAAAAAGTCTTGATAATTCTAAAGATATAAAACAAGAATTCTTAAAAGAAGTAAGCAATTATAATTTATTATTATTTAGACGTAATAATCTTATTTATCCTAATTAATATTTTAGATTGAAAATCAGCATAAACATGGGGGCACTTTTGCAATTGAGATTTATGGAATAACTAAAAATCCAAAAGATGGTAATTACATGATGGTTATGGAGTATGCAACGCAAGGAAGTCTCCGAAAATTATTAGATAGTAAATATAATGAATTAGATTGGACTTCTAAAGTAGCCAACCTATATTACATAGCTGGTGGGCTTAATACAATCCACAAAGCCGAATTAGTACATAAAGATCTTCATTCCGGAAATATAGTTAGTCGACATATACTTGATCCTTATATTACTGATTTTGGTTTATGTAAACCAGTGTCACATGACTCAAATTCCAAAGAACTTTTTGGTGTACTTCCCTATATTGCACCAGAAGTATTATATACAAATGGAAAGGAATACACTCAAAAATCAGATATTTATTCTTTTGGAATAATTATGTCAGAAATTTTTACTGGATATCCACCATATTATGATAGTTCACATGATTATCAACTAGTGCTATCTATTTGTCAAGGCTATAGACCTAAAATCGAATGTAAAGTTCCTCAACTACTTTTGGATTTAATGAATCAATGTTTAGATGCTGAACCTCATAGCAGACCAACTGCTGAAGAATTATATAATAAGCTAACCCAATTTTTTGCGGATTTGAAAGATGAAAACACCGAATTATATAAACAAGTTAAAGAAATTAAAGACTTGGGCAAAAATTCCTCAACATATAATCAAATCAACTCGGCAAGAATCAATTATCGGACACATCCGCAGGCTATTTACACAAGTCGGCTTTTGAAATTTCCAAAGCTCCCTAAGCCGGTAAATCTAGGTAAGAATATCTCAGAACATTGTCCTTAAAACTGTAATTTAACATATAGTGACTCATGATGTGTAGCGGATAGTTCAAGAATCAAATTGTTTATAACCATTTGTTTCTTGGAGATCGACTGATTATGTCTATATTTTAATTAGTCTTTCTAATGTCAAGCAACTATTTTATCGAGAGTCACAATGTATTTATAAAGTTGATTAATTTAATTCTTAAACATGTTTCTAGTAAGTCAGCCAGTGTCGGGACCGATTTTCGACGATTAGTGTAGTTTAGCCTTGACGCATTATAATTTTCAAATCCTTTTTTAATTTAAAATTTATTGGTAGACACCAATTAAGCTCTCGAATTAATATTATCAATATATTAAATTTATATATATGTTATGTGTCTTTATTGATCCTTTTAATTCGGAATCAGCATGTGCTATTAACTATATTAATAAAAAAAGGCATTTACTTTTTCTGCTTTTAAGTACCTTTTAAAACTTTCTTAATGATTATGGTAATTTATACCTTTTATTTTTTGGCCGTGAGTTCCTTGAGCAAATACTAGAAATAAAAATTAAGCAAAAAAAAAAGTATGAAAAAATTTGACAAGCTTCTGTTCTAAAAGTCAAAGTATTTATCATAAAAGAAATATACATTAGAAATTCATGAATTCGTAAAATAATAATAATAATCTCCTATGATCTTGGCAAAGTGATCGGGATTATACAAAATAATTGCCTTATAAAACTATTCGCCTCGTTAAGGAAACAGGATTAAGCAAAATTTCGCGTCAAATAGCATTAATTTTTCTGAATAAACTTCGATTATTATTTATTTACTAAAAGTATGGGTCAAAATGTGTCGAGGTATTAAATTTTAATTAGTGGAGAAATATTTTAACCCGATCAAAATAAAATTGAAAATCATATATCGATATTGCATCTTATAAAAATTTTTTAATGACGTAATTAATCTACCAATCTTTTTTTTTTAATTAAAAAAAAAAATTTATTACATTTGCTACATTCCAGAAATACCAACACTACAAACTCAAAAAATACTGAAAAATTCTTGTACATTGTTTTCCAATTTTTTCCGTGGCCACTGCAAAATGAAGGTTAAATTATATGTATATAATATCAAATACCAGAAACAGTCAACTAAAAATGATAGTTTAAAATTTGATTTTATTGTCCCTTATCGTTATGTTAATAATAATGATCCTAATATTTATATATTGTATACTAATTTAATTTTATAGAATTCATAGACAAAGATGTATCAAGTTGTTTAATCCAAAAATATAAATAATTTGAGTTTTACAGAAGCGAAGACGGAAGTATATGGTTTACGCACACAAAATCTTGTATTTGTTTGGTCGCTACTATTTGGAGGTCATTCCAAATATGCATATTTTTGTTAAGATAAATAGCATCTAAACATTATTATATTAATGAACCTGCAAATTTTAAACGTGAATAGTTTAATAGATTTCGTTCTTTATTCATCTACTTTTGATTGTAATAATATTTATTTCACTATAATATTTTGAAAGAATTTCTGTTGTTCACCAAATACCCAATATAAATTATAACGTACAAACTTTATAAACGTACGTAACTTTTGCCTTTAGCTTTTCTTGGTATACAATCAGACCACAAACTAAGAATATCGATCCGTTTACTATGATTTAATTCACGCTCAATTTCATCATGTGGAAACAATGCCGCAGGAATAAATATTGTTAACATTACGATCAATCCAAAGAATACCCACATTATAATAAAATTAACGGCACGAAGTTGACAAGCCTTATAATACTCTGAAGTTATATAAGTCTCATTCGATGGACAATAAAATGGAATGCCTCCAATATCATCACGTGTGAAAAAGGTATAAAAGACTGGTTTTTTTTTTTGAATTAAGTGAGATGCAAATAATATAAAAGAATTAATGAAAGATAATTGGATTGAACTTCTTACCTGCTACGAATAACCATAACAGCATCCAAACTCTAAAATTAAAATATATAATATTTTAGAATGTAACTAAATAACAAAAGAGATCAAATATTTACAATATATATATATATATATATAGCATATAAACAATTACAATAATTTTAATTCTATTCCCTTTATCGTAAGATCCGGTTTATAGCAAAAATTAAAAACTGACGAGAGAAAAATCCAACCTTTTAATTGTTGATGAACAGAAATAATTGTAAACAAAGATTAAATAAGGATATTTTATAAATTTGAACATTATAAATAATAATAGAAAATGCTTACATGGTAGGATGAGGGATACTACAAAATAACTAAATTTAATTGGAGGAAAGATTTTATAAATTTGTATAAATTTGTATATATTTGATTAAGAATATAAAACAAGGATTATGAATGATTTTGGGAGACTCACATATATTCCATCGGGACGTTTAATGAATATGGATAACCAATATTTAAAAACGTTACAATTTTTACAATTTCTGATAAAGAAATAAATGATTTGACATTAAAATTTAAGTCGTTTTAATAAATAAATAATTTATTCTAAAATAACAAATATTTACCTAACACTGGACAAGCAAAAGCAAACAATACAGAAAGACTTATAAATATCGCCGCAAAAATTCTCAGGACTCTTATAACATTCATCTTTATCGATCAATTATATATGTATTTTTTTAAATATCAAAACAAATGCAAAACATAAATAAATAAATATTTATTTATTTCAATTACTGAAATTTGTAAATTTTTCTACGTATTTATATGCTTAAGTAAATACGTACGTACGCACGTTTGAAATTTTTTATTTTGTCTAAGCCTCAGAGGCTTATTATTAATTTACGTATATTTTACGTAAGCAAAGTAAAAAAATTCAGGTTTAATTCGTTTACAAGAATTTTAAATAACAGGGTTTCACGAAGCTTCATCCTTTTCTATGAAGTGTCCTATAATAATCTCGTGTTGTTCCATTTTACTAATTGTTTTTTTGAGGAATTACGTGTTATATTGGCAATGACTTAAGTTTAAACTCAGTAGCATGGTAGGGAAATAGCCTCCGGCCGTCAACTAGTAAAGCAGGCATTTATTCCCGCTACGGGGTAGGGATGGTAAAAACAGTTTTAACCATTTTTTTTCATCGATTTAAAATAGGTGATGCGAATAGTCCAGTAGTTAAATATATATATAACGATAAGATCACCTGGTTTTAATTACGTAATAAAAAACCTTTGCCATCCCTACTACGAGGGAATAATAATCAATTAAACCATGAGCAAATTATACTCAACGAGAAAATATGAGACAAATTAATGATGATTAAAAATATAAGATCACATCTCAAGTAATAATTTATATAATATAACACATCTCAAGTAATAATTTATATAATATAACACATCTCAAGTAATAATTTATATAATATAACACATCTCAAGTAATAATTTATATAATATTAATAATAACGCACATTTCGAGGAAAAAAAAACCTTTTTTCAGAATATGTAAACCTCAACCAATGAGTGATTAAATAAATTACACATACGAAAGAAATACATTTATTTTATAATATTGCAATTCGTTCTTCATCAACCTCCTTTTCGTCTTTCCTAAATCTTTGTGGTACGTTTCCTTTACCGGCTTGAATTCTATCTTTAGGTTCAGGTAACATATTAGTAAAAACTGCTAAAACAAAAATTATTGAAATTACAGCAAGTGCCCACATTGAAATTAAATTTACTAAACGAATTTGACATGCTGTTTTGATTATCGATGAACTGTAATTATAATCATCTGGACATGTAAATGGAATATCTCCCATTTCGTTGATTGTTAGAATCGTATATGCGGCTATTTTACAAATGAATGGTATAAATTTCAAAGATAAAAATGATTACTTATAAAGTAATTATACGATGAATTCATTGCTTACTTGAGATTCCTAACCAAAGTATTGGCCAAATGCTATTTGGATTTGAAAAAAAAGTTCTTAGAGTTTAGCTAACGGGATTAATACTTAATGAGATTTAAACTTACATCAAAATTATTTTCAGACTGTCTGGTGGTGTTCTAATTCCCCAGTTACAATTACCAGTAACTACCAATATTATTATACCTAAAAACGAATTCTTTAATACGTAATTTACTGTACATGTTATACGTAATTAGAATTGGTTTAAACAACATATACTTACAGGGTAATATGAGTGAAATAATGATATACCTATATTTTCCCCATACAATTTAAAAAAGAAAAAAAACTATAAACATCCCGTTTATTATTAATTAAATAAATTATGACGGGAACTATTCAATTTTGTCTACCCATTTTCGATAACAGAATTAAACCGAAGTTGCCCGCCACTTTGTCTAAAAAGTTCAAATTTTGCTATCGCTATATCACGGTTCAAAAGAGAACATAATCAGAACTCTGAAAACAGCATATATATTCAAATTAAATTACTGTATAATGAATTAATTATTACCAAGAGATGGGCAAAGAAATATCGTAATACCCAAAATTATGTCTAGAACTGTTGCAAAAATTGTTTTAACCCTTTGAAATTTTGCCATAACTATACTTATATATAACGCATGCGTAAAATGTAATTGTTTTCTACATGAAATTTTTGACTTTTATAATTTAATTTTTATTGTTTTTTTTTTATTAATTTATCGTCTAAATTCATTCAAGTTATTATCTATACCACGATAATTCGAGAAAAATCAAATTTAAAGGCTTAATCATGTCTTTTAAAATACTATAAGATACGCATGGCTTATGCATAGCCTCATTTGTGTTCTAAAATCTTGAAATTTTCTTGATGTTTATGAAAAACAACCTGAATTTTCATGGACAATAGATTTCTCGATTATCGTTAATAGAATAAAGAAATATTGAATTGGTAAACTTTTTTATATAACGACAATGATAAATTACAACTTTTTATATAACGACAATGGTAAATTACATTTTTAGTTAGTTCTCATATTTTTTATATAAATATTTATAGTCAAAACAACCTAATTTTTAATTATTAATACGAGTACGTACGTACGTAAGTAATAACGATAATATATATAAAGTATGTTGTACCCCTATTGTCCCGATCCAGAATTGAGACATTCCCAGATAAGATTTTTGTAACCTTGGCCAATATTATGTTAACTAAAAACTATACATGTTTATTCTAAACCATAATTCTAACCTTAACACTACCATTAAAGTTCTAATTCTGCCGAAATAATTTCCAGAGCAGAGCGGAGGATCTTAAGTCCAGTCAATAGGTAACGGTAAGGTTCCAACGTCGGTCACAAGTGTGTACAGATTTCATAAGTCCAATCGACCAAAATCATATCAGTTATTGTTGTTTTTAGATGTACAGTATGTGATGTATGATGAGTATTAAAATTTAACCTTTACGTATAACGTATTTAATTTAATAACTTCTACATGCAATTTCGAACTATATAATTGAATATCCATATTCGATATTAATTTTTCATAATATCTTATGGTTATATAATAACGGCAGTAATAAGACAACATTGGCAGTATTGGCCTCTTTAAAAGTTATTAAAAATTTATTTCATATTGTAAAAACAAAGTATTTTGGCTAATAATGAAAATATTATGTTTTTCTTTAATGTAGTAAACATAATTTAATAAGTTCTAATAAAGTTAATTCGCGTAATATAAAAGAACATAAATAATGATAATAATAATAAAAATACAATTCATATAATTAATACAAAAAAAAAAATGATTAAAAAGCGTGATACAGTAAACATAATGTAGTAAGTTTTAATAAAGCCAATTCGCGTAAGATTAAAAAACAATTAAATTCGCATAAATAGTGAAAATAATCATGTAATTAACAAAAAAATTTTGATTAAAAGCGTGATAGTTTATTTCCAACTGATTTAATAAAGTATTAATTGATTCAGAAATGATTTTGTTTTCTTCGATTCTTCAAAATGTAAAACGATCGTTGCAATCTTTTAAAAACATAAAATCAAATAACCCAATATTCTAAAAATACACATTGTTCATCGTAACCAAATTTCCACTAATAATAAACGAAAAAAGAAATAAATTGTAAAAACTAATCAGGCAAATGCAATTACACCAGAAAATCTTATAGATTTTATTTTGAATGCTCATCCGAAAGACTATAACTGATAAATTATTTGAGCAAAAAGTTTTATCCCTTAAACTGTATTCGGGCAAATTTGCCTTTCCATACTACTTACAAAATTTATTAATAATAGCCCCCCTATTGCTTGTATCATCATGTACGCATACATCACTGTAACACTTGGGCTTTGCTGTAAAAAATAACAGTAAGATTTAATAAACATTTAAAAAACTATTCTTTAAAATAGATTAGTTTAAAAATAATATAAAAGCCTTGGCAATCCCATGATTGGATTTTAGCAAATTTGGGCTTGTTGGTCATTTTAATGGTAAAATTATCGAAAACAGGCTGATATATCAAAATTTATTCATTATTTTATGTTAATTTTAAAATTGCTTTGCACAGCTTATTTTGGTTAAATTATGATATATTAATAGTATTGGTCAAAATCACATGATTTGAGTACCATTCGATTCATCTCATTGAGACAAATCAAATGATATCAAAATCATTCGATTCTAATCAATAGATCTCAATAGGTTATGGAAAATAGTATGTATACCATAACTGATACCTGTGTTATATTTTATCTTTTTTAATTTGTATTTTTAATTAACGATAACTTATAATCTAGTGATTAGAATTGGATGATTTTGGTACTATTTGATTCATCTTGATGTGACGAATCAAATTGTACCAAAATCATTCAATTCGGACTGATATATCATGTATTATTAGTTAAAATACTTACTGTGCCCTAATACCTATATCTACCATATATTATTTTATTGCTCTAAAGTAAGATCTAATTGTTTTGAAGATTTTATAGTAAAAAATAAATAAATTTATTAAATATTTGTTTTTAATTTGATTTATAACCAATTTATAATCTTTATTATAATTTAAGTAGAATAAAAATTATTTTACAAAATTCGTGGCAAATTTGCCCTGAATTTATATACAGATTAAGGGATAATTCTGAATCCAGAATGCAACAAAAAAATTATTGAAGAAACATGATTAATCCAAATAGTAACAAATGGATTGATAATAAAACTCATAATAATAATACTTTATGACTGTAATAAATATTACATTTATTGAGTTTATAATAATAAAATAATTAATTTTTTGCTATAAATATGACTTTTTTGGTGCTTATAGATCTCTCACAAAACATTAATCAATGAATCTACCCTAACAGATAAAAATCATGAGGGGCTAAAATTTTTTATGCAAATGCGACATATTTATCACATGATGATTAAAACTTTTTAGGTAGCTTCATATAATAGGTTAATTTTTGTAGATCTACCTGTGAATTCCCGTGATAATTAGCCAATCAAAATACATGGTTTTTAAAAATAATACTGGGTTAGGTAAAATCACAAGAGAATCATTTTTTGTTAGTTACACAACAGGGTTACTTTAGTAAAATTTTAAGATATAGTAGGGTGCAATATATTGTAGCCACAATAAAAAATAAAACCCTTAATACTACTAGAAAATGAAAAGAACTTCACATAAAACTAATAAATGCATGTAAAAAAGAATTTGCTATATTTAAAAATAGATAACACGTAAATTGATATTCATTACTAATCAATATATAAATAAATTATTAATGAAGCTATCTTTTATTCTACTATAAAGTAATTTTATCTTATTTTTAGTTATTACAGTCTTTATTAAAAACATGACATAACCCTTAGCCCATATAATTAATAAAACAATAATCACTTATAACATTTATACATATTATCAACCTGTTACTTAACCCAAAGGTATATTTATTACTCTAGTAGTATAGCTCTATAAATGTAAAATATACTGTAAACATTAGTACAAGCCTATTATTATTATAACATATATCACATTAAACAGTATACTCAAAGTTCTAAGTTTAAAGCTTACATGTAATATCTCGATCTTTTTTTATTAACTGTTTTTGGCATTTAAAACTTACATATAGTTAATATAGCCAGTATTAGCAGTCTATAGTAAAAACATTTGCTCTTAAGTGAAGTTCTTGGAAAGGTGGATTATTTTGGATTACTTTTAATAGTGAATATCTATGTTCGTTTATAGCTAGAATTTGCTTTTACAACGATTTTTTTGTTAGTGATAAATAAGTTACCTGGACTATTGATTTAAATCAGCCAATCAGATAAAAGTCGTTCTATGAGGTAAAATCCAATAGGAGGATATTCATCTGATTGGCTGATATAAAACAATTGTCTGGATAACTTATTTATACGCTTTAAAGTACTTTTCAGAAACATGAACGTTTTACTAATAAAGTCACCACAATCATAATTTATAGCTTCTACGAAGTATCAATATTCACCATGCAAAAGAATCAAAAAAGAATCAGACTCCTGAAGAATTTTGCTTAGAAAATAAAATACAACCACCGTTTATTGGTCTATACGAAATTACTACACATAAGTAGTATAGGAGATTAAAAAAAGATAACCGGAATAATGAAATATGTATGTTTGCTAGACTTTACATATTTAAATAAGCTTTATTATTAACTGCTTAGCTTGGTAGGTATAAGCTCGTCATGATAAAAGACCTGGGTTTATAGTTGAGTTTGTTTGCGTTTCATAACATTCTTGGGCTTGTTAATCATAGTTATTAGATTTAGATTTATAGATAGTAAGACATATAGTGCTTTTGACTTTGATGGCAAATATATTTTCCTTATAATTTAATATATATATAACTTTTTCGCGTATATTTACTTTTGTTTGCAAAAAACAATAAATATAAAAATTATGTAATCTTATTGGTTAATTATCACGGGTAATCATGGGTAGATTAAATGAATGTTCTTAGCTTTTTTGAAGTTTAATACTAATAAAAAAATTTTTCTTTAATTTTTCAAACAAAATTTTTTAAATAAACCAAATAATTTTTGTAGATTCTTACATTATAAGGGAGCAATGGAGATATTGTGGCGCACTTAAGTTTCTCAGCTATATCCTGTTAAGCAGCACTCAGAATCAAATTATATTAGTACCATTCAATTCGTCCATTGAGACGATTCAAATTATATAAAAATCGCATGGTTCTAATTACTGAACTACAAATATTATGGCCATGTACTATGTATTTTCTTATTCGGACAATACTTAGGGAGGATGCAGTAATACAATATGAAATACATAGTGCGCCATAATACCCCAACCTGAAAAACATAGCAGTTTTTTAATAGATTTTAAAAGTTTTAATCTGACTTTTTTTTTACAAAATTACTACTTATCGCCAGTGGTGATCATCACCAGTTCTAAGATTTGTTAGGGTTAGAGTTAGAAATTAGAGAATTATTTTTTTTTTATATAATATATTATATAGCTAATATAAGGGTTTGATAGGGTCCAAACTCAGTTTTTATGAGGTTTTTGGGGTTCTGAATATTTTTACTTAAAGAACCTGATCCCATTTACTTAGTACGTTTTTGAGATATAGCAACACCGGTGATGATCACTAGTGGTAGTAAATAGCAAACTCCTTTTTTTTAACATTCGATAGTAAGGCCATTCAAAGTTGAATAGTTGTTTAACGTTATCCCTCCTCTCAGTTAGCTGTCCCCCCGAAAATTAAACAAGCCAATCACAGCGCAGGATAATCTCTAATAATCATATGATTAAAGTTGGCCAATAATATTTTGTTAAATATTCTGTGTTGTATATGTGTTTGTTTAAATTTCTCCTCTCCCCCCCTCGTGTTTGAGCTCAAATATTGACGTTAAACAACTGAATAGCCTAAATCGAATGTTATTTTATTTCGCTAAATTTTAAATTTTTATGTGTACAACTCTTAAGTGTGCCAGAATACCCATCACTCTCTTATATAACAATTTTTGCTAATATTATAATATTCCACGTGAATCTTGACCGTCACGTAGAAATGTGTTATATTTCATTGATTTAGATACTGTTGCTATATGATAGTAAGCAGCCACTATTAGGGACCCGTAAAAACTTATATAAATTTTGATCAGTTTTTATGCGTATTCAAATATAAGGCGAGTTGATAATCAGTTACATAAATACTGGACATATCCTCTTTTTATTTTTTTATTTTTTCTCTTTTTTGAAAATGCTTACTGGAATAGTTATTTTGACGTTATTCCTGTTAAAAATTGGTCTACTTTTCAGTTTTATAAATATTGGATTGAGAATCACAAAAACGATCCTGAACAATTAAATTATGCCAAGGCTATGGACACATTTCTTAAAAGTCTACGTACATTAATCAACTGAAGATCAGACCTCCCAAAACTCTGGAAAGCTAAAGAACTTTTACCCAGTTGTCAGGCAAGTATTATATTTCTGTAGAGAATGCCCTTCACAGTAGACTTTTAGTTGACTGTGGCTGTCTACAGCAAGGAAGGCATGACTTTTAGTTGTCCTTCTGATGATCTTTTAGATCGCTGTGGTGTAGGCGTCCATAACAAGGAAGACATGACTTTTAGTTGTCCTTCTGATGATCTTTTAGATCGTTATGGTTGATACATTAATAGTATTTTTTTAGTAGTATGCTAAAAGCATTTCAAATATGTTAATCAATCACACTTTATTTTCTTGTATCAAGAACCAAAATCAACGCAAATCGGGAAGCAACATGGATTCTTTATGGAGTGAAACTCTTAAAGAAAAAAATATTAATACGGGTTCAAATTACGCGCAGCTTGTTTCTTGCGAAGGTGTGACAATTGAAAATATTGGAGACAAACAATCATTCGAAACACAGATAAAAGAAGGATCTAGTCAGTCAAAACAGCGATTAGGTTTATGTAGTATGGTTTAATTTTTTACAGTGCCTTATTATTATTTTGCCTTTATTAATATTACATCAAATGGGTTTTAGAAATTGAAGATAAGGAGAATCATAGAACTACGTATAAACGTCAACGCATGGAACATTTGGATAATGCAAACGTTTTTAATACCGATGATAACGAGTATGAATTGGAAAAACAAGCCGAGCAAACAGTCCAATACAATGGAAAGATGTGGGTCGTAAATAAAATTAATGTACGTGATGCATTAACAAAATGGCAGAAACAAATGGGCCGATCACGCACCGAGTAAGTATTTTTTAGTAATATTTAAAATGCAATATGCTGAAAATATTTGATGTACTGATGATAGAAAATATTAGTCTAGCTTATTACGACATTATAGATATTACTCCTGGCACAAATAGTGAATTTATACGATCCCTACCTAACGATGCAAAGCGTGTGATTATGCGATTTGGATCAACAGAACAGCAATCTGTCACAGAAAATGTGAAAGAATTAATCGTTAAATTTATTAAAGTATTATTCTTTGTTTCACTATATATGTAGTCAAATATGTTGGCTGTTCGCAACTATAGTTATTGGATTCTTTTTTAAAATTTCTAATTTGCTCATATAGGCAGACGATTTTCGCAAGATTGCTGATGAGAGCTATAATGAAACAAGACAAAATGATACTTTGAAATTCGTATGGGACTTTGTAAATCTTCTGTAAGAACAATAGGTCAATTTGTTATTTGTTATTTCTTAAGTTTCACATTCAAGTTCTTTTTCATAGTGCGGATTCATTTGAAAGAGAGAGTGACCTTGCAGATTTTGATTTGTCCGAACTAGCATACCGAGAAATTTTTCTGGCACCTGCCATTCGCAGTTTGTTCCGTGGAATGCATAGAGAGATGCATATTTTTTTGTTAGTATACCTTATTTAAGTTTGCTCAATCTTGATCTATTTTTAATAAAAGTTACGACGTATATTTATGTAGTGGTGAAAAACATTTATTTGCATCGTCTGAAGAGCTTAATCTGAAGAAAACCGATAGAGAAACTCGTGGCGTTGGAAATAAGGTCGATATTATTTGGTCTTTAAAGTCGACAGATATTGAGTTTAGCGTTGGTGAAGTTAGTGGTCCGCCAAATAAACGTGACCATTCGCATTTTTTCGGCGACAAATTGAAAATCGCGAAGATGCTTAAGATTATAATCAAGCATGGTGGTGCAGGTGTAAAATTAGGCTCGTTAAAATTATATGGATTACAAATATATAGTAAGTATTAACGAATTTGAAAATGATTGTATAAGGGTTATTAAAATTCTTTACTTATATTAGATAATGAAGCAATTGCCTGAGTTGTCGGTCCCTTTTCAAGGGCTGTATATTTTTCGTGAGGTCATGCGGTCAAAACTGCCAACTAATAAAGTTGAAGTAGCGTTAATTTCACGTACTATACCAACGTTGCTCAAGTTTAGGGTTTGTTTTTATTTCCCCTTTGTTCTATACCAACTTTTTTATATTTACCAAAATTTCATTACTAGGAGTTACTTATGCAGAGTGAAAGATTATATTGTGGATGCATATATTACGTCAATAGATTGTGCAAACCAGTTTATCACATGTACGAAGTAGAACAAAAAAAGTGAATAGAACAAACCTATATCAAAATTTTCTTCTATTGAGTGACTATATTTTACTGTAATTTCTTTATCTAAAGTGACCACATGATAGTGTTATTTTTGATTTTTATTTACAATATAAAGTAAAGTGTCCGTATTCGCTGTATACGGTATATCGGTTGTTTAGGCCGTTGTGAATTTTTCGGTTAACATCAACCCTCCCCTTTGATGTCCCCGGTAAAATGAATATATAAAAAAAAGTAAAAATCAAAAAAATACCGTATGACCACGAAATAACGCGCTGGGGTGTGGTTTCGAATTTCGGCCTAAATTAAGCGCTATTTCGTGGCTATATGGCAAATATAAAATAAAAAAAATAATTTACTGCTATTATCATAATTCCTGAAACACCTGATAAAAATTAGCCGAATTATTGTTCAGCCGATTCGGTTAAGTTAGTGATTTCGGCATGATCCATTATATAATAAAAATAATAAAAGCTATTTTTGTATTATGACCAATTATTATAACAATAATGTCAATGTTATTAAATTTTCGTTTCAACACTTGTCCAACATGCTTGGTGTGTTTAGTTTGCACAAAAATTTATGGAAAAGACTGCTTGTGTCAACCAATAAGCCTTAGCAAGAAACCTAAAAAAGGGACTGAATATAAATTAGACTTTTATAACAAATATATTACACGAACAGGTTGCCGCTATTAAAAAAGTTAAATACGATCATGAATTTGTCGACTGGTTTAAAAATGAATCTCAGGTTAGGATTCCAAGCAACCAAGATATTATTAATATTTGTCGAGAAGGATTATCAAAGTAAAAAATTTTATATGTTTATAGTTATTTATATATTGAATACTAACGATTAAAATTAGTTCAAAAATGGGATCCAAAATTAAATGAAAGTATTATAGTGGATTTAAGAATTAAAGATTGCCTATCTGAAGCAGATAGTTTAGAAGACTTGCCTAAGTGTTTGGCAATTTGTCGAACTAATAAGTCTTCTAAATTTTTTTCAACGATTTGCCAGCGAAGCTGCTTTGTAAATATCATTTCTAGAGATATCCCAAATTTTTTAAAAATAAAATTTTTTGTCTTCGACAAGAAACGAAAAATAATTAGAAATAAATAAATGCCTTCGTTTGAACGAAAATGGATCTTGCAAAGAATAGGAACCGAAATTTAATTCAATTTTTTAAAAACAAATTTTCGTTGAAAATAATTAAAAATGAATAAAGATTTCGTTTATCACAAACGAAAATGGATCTTGCCAAAGAAACGGAATTGAAATTTTGCAAAATTTTTCAAAAATGAAGTTTCGTTGAAAATAATTAGAAATGAATAAAGGCTTCGTTTGAACGAAAATGGATCTTGCCAAAGAATGGGAGTTGAATTTTACACAATTTTTTAAAAACTAATTTTTCGTCTTCGACAAGAAATGAATAAAGGCTTCGTTTGAACGAAAATGGATCTTGCTAAAGAATAGGAATTGAAAATTTACACGATTTTTTAAACCCAAATTTTCGTCGAAATATTAGAAATGAATAAAGGCTTCGTTTGAGCGAAAATCGTGCCAAAGAATAGGAATTGAAATTTACGATTTACAAGTGCATGTCGATATTTAGTCTTATTGTAATATTGTTACCATCGGTTGGGAGAGCAATTGCGGATGTTAATGGGATTTTATAACACTTCTACACGTGATATGATGTCACGAAACTCTCGGGGCTATCTTAACAGATCAAACTTTAATTTCGGGGGTAATTTATTATGTAACAAGATATAAGAAATGCAAGATAATAATAATAATAATAATAAAGAATAATACAATAATAAAAGAATAAAACTAAGCTAATAAACTAATACTACACATGTAAGAATCCGATTCTTATCATAAACCCTATAACTAAGACATCGAAGGTTCTAAATCATCATTTGAGACAAGGTCTAAAGAAATTTAACTAAGGCAGAAACTCAGGCCTTAAATACCTTTTGCTTTACTAAGAGCTACTGCGCTATCTTTTAATCCCATCCTTCTAAGACTCTTTGTACTATCAACACTGTGAAGCAGCGTTGTGTGCGGGCCGCGAACGGCGCTGTCTCAGAAAAGCCTCTCCACAAGCCATAGTTATTATAATTCCTGGTATCCCAACAATGAGGGGCCAACAATAACGGGTTTATCTCATATCATACGATTGTATGTTAGATAAACAAACACTCACCGGAGTTAGTCTATGTTATTAAGCCTCTCTATTCGCCACCAAAGAGCCTCACAATATTCTTGTGGCTCAAGTCATTCGGGCTTTTAGTACTACCAAGTCACATCCAAGTCACGGGTTTAATTCTAAAACCGTGACAATATATATTGGTTATCTGATCTTATTAAATTACGTATCATAAAATAAAATAATTTAAAATAAAATAAAATTATATAAAAAATAAAATTAACCGAATTTAAAAAATAAAAAAATAAATAAAAAAAACGAGAAAGAAAAAAATAAATAATAAAAAATAAATTTTAGTTCCTACTTGGCTGTTCTCTCATATATGTTTATTTCAGTTTGTAATGAAACAAATCTGCTGAAAAAAAGAGCTTCCGAAGTGTTTTTTTATTCGATTGTGAAGAGCTAAAGAACTTGTATTAATGAGTAAGAAGAAATATTTAAATAAACATTTAACTTTTACGTAAATAACAATTACAAACCAATTATTCGAATCGAAACTTTTTTTTACATTAATTTTTAAGCCATCTGATCAGTGATTTATTTCAGTGATTTGAACCGAGAAAAATTTTCTTAATCGGTTAACTGAACCGAATTATTTCATTCAACCGATTACCAACCGGATAAGATTAATATCTATACTATCTTCGTAAATTCTCGAAGCT